GAATTTCTTGTCATTCTACTGATTATTTGACTGCACATAAAAATTTCTTTTGTGAATTTCTGATTTAGTTATTTAAATTTGCTTTGTTTACTAGCAATCATGCAGGTCATTCTTTTTTGAGGTGAAAGAAGAACCTTTAGCAGGTGAAATGCTCTGTCAAAGTGTGTCTGTTAATCTGGTAGATTGCGAATTAAGGAGGTCCTTATTAGAACGCGTGCTAAACGAAAAAAGACTTTGTTTGGAAGGATTTTTGCTCACTTATTATAAACAGTTCCCTCTCCCAACTTTTTCACTTGCTCACTGTAATTCAGTGGAAACTTCTACGGGTAATATCCAACAAGATGTGCTTACTGCAGGAAGTATTTTTTTCGATCAAGGAAGGACTATTTTGAGGTTATTTTTTCATTCGTGTTGTTTTTTTGTAATTTTATAATAGTAGTGTGTAGTGAGCTAAGCCGTACAAGAATTATTATATTTTAATATAAACATATTTTGATTATCAAAATTATGAATCCTTTTTTGAAGTTAATTAATATATAGATATTGCATTGGGATTATTCGAAAATTTTCGTAGCAATAAAAGTTTTATCGTCAGGAGTTATAAGTGTAAAAAGGGATTATGTAAGTTGCGTATTTCTACAGTGCTAATTTGGATAATGGTGTTCGAGTGACAAGTCGATCACCAGTTGGGAAACATTGCTGGCGTTTTTTACAAGAGCGTGAGAAGCATCATCAATCAAGTTGTGTTAATAAATGGTTAAGAAAGTTAGCTTCACAACCTCAGACGACGTCTACAGCATCTACTGTTAAAAGTACTGCAGAAGATCCATTCGATGTGAGTTTCTTGAATATATCAGTATTGCATTTATTTTAATTATAATCGAATTGGTTAAAAATTCTTTAAACTATTTAGAGGCTGCCGCAGCTACCAAGGACATTAGATGTGGACCCAGTAGAATGTAGCGAAATGTATTTTTTCATTCAACAGAACCGACGTTTGACGTCTGATGTCTCATCTAAACGTTATCCTGAAATCATTGAATGCTCAGAAGAAAAGAAAATTGACAAAAGTCGCATGTTATGGCGTTCTCTTGCTGCAGATTTGCGATTATTTCCGGGGACTAGATTAACTCCACCTAGTTTCAACCGTGATATCCGTCATCTAGATCAGACTTGTTCTCGAGAAGTGCACAAAGTTGCTGTTATCTATGTAGCCAAAGGACAAGAAGTGAATTTTTAGCGGAATTAAGATTTTTTCATGCATGGACCAAATTTTATTATGGATTTGGTCAAAAGCATCAATTAAAACTAGCCATCAAAAGACTTATTTTTTAGGACAAGGTGTCAGTACTTTCTAACAGCTGTGGTTCAGCTGCATTCAACGATTTTATCTCACGTTTGGGTTGGCGTGTACAAATAGGTCGTGAACACCAGGGATACAGTGGTGGCCTACCAGCTGGTGCAATTGCTCCTTACTACGCATCGGGAGATACCGAAATTATCTTCCATGTTAGCACTATGCTTGATGGTTTGTTTTACGTTTTGCTTTTTTTACATACCTTCCTACAAGTCAAATCTTTACTGTACATTGCAGATAATTTTAAGAATATCTTATCGCAAAAGATTTGTTTTGTCATATTGTAATAATTTTTCAGCAAAAATATAGAGGTAATCGATTAAAGATAGTAGTTTTTACCGACATAAATTACTGATATTCACTTGTAAATTTTTTAATTGAATCAATTTAGGTGATGTTACGCAAAAGTTGAAACACTTGGGAAATGATGAAGTGCATGTTGTATGGTGTGAAAATGATCGTCCTTATCGTCGAGACACCATTGCAACTCGATTTTGCGATGTACTTTTAGTTTTTTACCGGATGTCGTCTTATCTCTTTCGTGTTCGTATCGAAACGCAACGACCGCTTGAATTTGGTCCATTGTTTGACGGAGCTCATATTCATATTTGTATGCTACCACATCTAGTTCGTGATACTGTCATAAATGCATCTCGAGCGTACCGTTTGTCGCAGCAGGGATGTGCGCGACCATTAGAACATCGAGAAGAAGTCTTTGAAGAAACAAGACGCCTGCTTCAGATTCCGTCTCCATCGATATCAATTTCTCGGACGTTTGCTCCATCCTTGACCTTGAAGTCTTGCTGAAATATTTTTCCAACTTCCTTGGTTGATTCTCTGTGATATCTCTTCATTCTTCTTCTCGTTTTACTATTCTTTTATGAAAAATTTGTTTCAGTTGCTTCATTTTATTTTCATTACTTTTAGTCCGTTTATTGCTTTCAACCTCGAAGGTTTTTTCAACATAACTCACGATTCTGAGGACTTTAGACAATATTACTGATTCTTCAAAGTGCAGTTGATAGCGGTTCAGCCAAAAATTTTCATCTCTACGGTTTTATATGTCAGTCATATTCTGTCATGGGCATATATATCTTTTGCACTGCACTTGATGCTACCTTGCACTCTCTTGATGCCAAATATTCTTCTTCATGATTATTATTTTACTCTATCACTACGTGACTAATTAAAGTCTTGTTCATGAAATCTATCGTGTTAAACAGTGAATCTCAGATCGTTTCCACCCAAATTTGTGTACAATTCATATTTACTTTTCAACCGCCTTATCTTTGTTTTATTCATTTAGTTTAATTCCTTGAATTTTTTCTTTTGTTTTTTGAAGTTTTTGCACAATCGTTTTAGAGGAAATAATCAGGTGGACATGTACTTAAGACTTCTAATAACTTCTCTCTAATGATATATTACACACGGTTCAGCATTACTGCTTTCTATGTTAATTTTTGCTATAAGGCAAAAATCTCCATTGATAATGTTCTTATTTGTTATGGTTTTTCGGCTTATTATACAAAAATCTTACTGCTATACTTTATTCCAGTATTATATTTCAAATCAGTAGTGCTTACAAGTCTCTGCTGGGAAAATTACGTTGTAATTTTATGTGCTTTTTATTTTTTTGTTTTTCTCTTTTTATGAGCTACTTTAATTTGTTGCTCTTAAAAGTATCTCATTCTAATAATATTTTATGCATAAGTAAAAAGCTTGCTATAAAATCATCTGTACTGGTTCTTCGTAATTATTTAGATACCCACTACAGGATAAATTGTTTATTTATCATATTTTTGTAATATCCATTTAATTCTCAAATGACTGTGTTTTAATAAAAGCATTTAATGAAAAAGTCCTTCGTTCACACAAGTAACCGTGACCTTGACTTAGTATTTGCTGGCATGTTTTAAGTCAAAAGACTTTAGAACTTGATCATTATATTATTTACATTTTTGTCCAAAAATTGAATCTTGTGAAGGAATTGAAACAGCATCAAAATATTAGCAAATTTATCATGCCATGAAGACAAGTTTTTCGTAGCTATTGCTAATACAAATCTTCCTTCAAAGCACTGAGTTGATCTGTAAATCAGTCGTGAAGATGGTCTTTTACGTACTTAACGCATCATTTCGATTTTCTGGAAAAAATATTACGTGTTAATCCAGTAATTGCACGTAAATTAATTTTTAGAAAATGAATATTTTGCCGAAGAAGAAATGGCATGTGCGTACTAAAGAAAATGTAGCAAGGGTTCGACGTGATCAAAAGAAAGCTAAAGAAGAAGAAGAACGAATTACTGAGAGAGCTCAACGTGCTGAACAAGAGTACAGAGTTTGTTATGTTTTATTTTCGTAAAAATTAATGAGACAGAAAGTGAGCTTAAATCAGAATGTCTTTGCTATTAAAGAATCACCGTTAATTTGGTAATTATTTTTTGAAACAGCTCCGATGGAATATTACTTTTGTTTCTACTTTTAATCCAAAAATTATCTTCAGAGAATAACTGATTGTAAAACTTATGATTTTATCTAATTCTGTTTGTTCTGCTTTTGAAGTTGTGCTTTCGCCTGTAAACACAGAGATTTAGATTACTTTTAAACGTATATTTTATTTTTTTAGGTAAATATTTTACGAAAAAATGCAGAAAAACGAATGGAAACTATGTATGGGGTCAAAAAAAGCGATACTAGTGGTACTGAGACACAATATACCAATGCTTCCGGACATGTGAATTTCTTCGCCGATCTGGAAGAAGAATATTGCAAAAATTATGGAGTTGGAAATCGAGATTATAAGCTGGAAAAAAAGCAAGAACAAGAAGAGTACGAAAAAAAAGTTGGCATCTTGCAATATCTCGGACAAGGTTCGAGCGAACTGTCAAAAGTTAGTTTTCTTGGCAACGTTTGTTTGATCAGTATATATAAGTTTGATTTTGAACATTATAATCAATAAATTTCAGGAAAAACCTTGGTATGAAAAAGTGCCAGTAAAAAAGGAAAGTACTCATAAGACAACGAAATCGGATAGTGTTGTTAGAATTGTCAGTAAACGTGTTGTAAGCGTAGACGACAAAAGACAAAAGGAACAGAAAAGACATAAAAAGAAGCATAAAAATGGAGAATCTCATAAAAAGAAACACAAAAAGAAAAGTAAACATTATGATCAGTGTTGTTCAGAAGTAAACGAAGAAGATTCATCTAGTGCAGAAGAAAATGAAAAAAAACAGAGAATTGAAAAATTGAGGCAGGAACGTTTGGAACGAGAAGCGAAAGAACGACAGCGTATTGCTAACTTAGCAGCACCTACTAAAAGTGTTGAAGAACGAAAACAAAACATTCCACAATACAATTCACAATTCAATCCAGAACTGGCACGACAAAATCGAGTGCGATGAAAAAAACTATAGAAAAATTAGCTGTAATTACTTTAGTCATTATTTGTTGATTTTTTTCATCAATTCCAGATCAGTGCAAATTTCGTTTTTAGCATATAAAATTTGGCTACACAGATATGATTTATTATAGAAATATGAGAAACTATTCACAAAAAAAGAAAATTACTCAGATATAAGTTTTGTCACATAAGCTTTGTGAATCAAAAAAGAAGAGCTTGATTAAAACTTATATGACTCGAAAAATTTTTCGCATTTTGCTGCTTTCTGAGTTCGTTAATAAGGAACGCAGTAAATCTGTTGGCAGAGAAAGATATGATACAAATTTTCATTCCAGAATAAAACAAAAGATTTAGTTGATTGTTCTACTGTAAATAGTTAGATTAAATAAATGTGGTTCTTCGCATATAGATATCTAGAGATAACTTTGTTCATATTATACTTGGAAACCTGCAGTTTCTAATATCAATTAATTGTAAAAGTAATGTATGTTTGCTGAGTAACGAATAATATACTACATTTTAAATCGTGATAAGAGTTACTAAGAAGTCATAAGTGAAGATAGCGCTATATATCCATTGCATCATTAATTCAAGCAGTACTGGATGACTATCAAAATAGTAGCACAAAACTCTGAGTTCCTCTGTATAGACAACACACGTAACACATGTAAGTGAAAAACTATAGAATGCAATTGCGCGAATTTCGAAGTGGAGAAGATTCCATCTGACAGTGTGCAACTAATGAAGTGAGACATAAATTTCATTAAGTCTTACTGAAAAGCATGTGGGAGGGTTTAAAGTTTGTTGCTAAAGTGGATTATTTGATGGAAAAGATTGACGATACATGAGTTAAGTGCTCAAGTTCCAGGGATAATTCGCGGCTCTGAATCAGGAAATCGTCTTGCATGAAATTGGCTTCTCTTCTAAACAGGAGGTATTTACATATTGATGATAAACAAGTGTAAGAAAAATTTCTGCACTAGAAGGTATAAATATGCAAATCATTCTAGTATTGTATAAATTAATGTTACCACTGATTGTATCTATGTGATACATATTACTTCAAGTAACTATTTATTTTAGGAATAAGTAACTTCATTATGCAGGAAAAGGTAGCTATGTATTCAGCACTAGAATCTCTGGCTACTAATTTTTCAATGCAAGATGCTAATAGTTCAGAATGTTGCAAAATTCCCTCTGATAATTTGTGTCGTCAAGAAATTTTTATTTTAATTGATCATGTACCGTTGTTTTCGAACGATGAGCATGAAGTAGAACACCGTTACGAAAGGTTGTTTATATTATAATTAAATTTAGTATGCATATTTTGAAGTTTTCCTCTTTGTCCGAGTTAGTTTTCGGTAAAATGGATGCAATCAATTTCTAATTAGTAGTCATTACTTCTGATGTAATGTGAAGGAAGAAAGGAACTATTGAATAATGATAATAGACTGGAGTCAAATTATATTAACTTATATAAGTGTTACTTTTAATGTCTTAAAGTAATACAGTAATATCTAAGGTTTCGGAATCTGCTTGACATGTATCAGGAAGAGCCGAGTTTGCTTGATCCTTTTGTAGAAGGCATGATAAGCAAGTTGCTAGGATATGTTAAGCTGCTCGAAAAAGAAAAAACAAAGTAAGCTTTTCACTCAATTACTACTAGAAGATAGAGTTTTAACTCTGCATAGCTAGATCTCTATCTTCTAGCAGTAATTGCTTAATTTTCTTAGTTTACTTTGTAAAACTAAATGATGTTATTAGCTAATCTCAACGTACTTTCATTATTTCATTAAAGATTTGATGATATATCAAATGTGGCGTTTTCAATGCTTATGCATATTTCAAAAGTAAAGGGATACAAACAGTTTCTTTTGCTCCTTCCTCACGAGGTGAGTATATACAATTTAATTGAGCAGAGATTGGTTCTTTTTAATTTACTAAAGATGATTTTATTTTCTTCGTAAATCTTAGGAGACACGTTTCTTCAAAATTTGATGGTGTTTTTTTGATAAAAATGTAATTTTAAATTTTAAATTTATTGCATATATGTTTGTTTTCCTTGTTCCAACTGATTTTTTTCCTTACAAGTAATATATTATAGTTAACTTATGATACTTTCAAGTTACGATTCTAAAGT